CGATGAAAAATCAAGTGAAGTTTATACACAGGAGGACAAAATAATTGAATCATCCACATTGAAGGGACTTGAATCAACGTCTCAAGAAAAGCCAATTGAATCATTAACACCGGAAGAAAAACCAATCGAGCAATCAACACCAGAAGAAAAAATCACTGAAACCGAACAGAAAACAGAAACTCCAATCAGTGAAGAACAAACTTTTAAACCATCTACATTTGAAGGAGAAACAGAAAAGACAACAGAAGGAGTTATAATTAAAGAAACTCAAACCGTTGCAGAAGAAAGTGTTTCTGAGATACCTGTAAAAATTAGTTCGACCGAAACAATACAAGTAGGTCCCATTGAAGAACAAACTGACGGTGAAGCAGAACAACATTCTGTAACTCCAATCAAAGAAGAAAAATTAGGAACACCAGAAAGTACGGAAAGTATTTTAATAACAGCACAAGTACCATCAGAAGAAACCGCTGCAACAGATCATACTATATTTGAAGAAAAAGCAACAACGATACCAAGTATTCATGCTGAAACAGTTCAACCTACAGAAGCACCAGTACATATTGAAGAAGCTCCTTCCAAAGATGAAATAGAATCAGCAGTGACAAAACTTCAACCAGTTGAAGTATCTAGCGAAGTTTCGGTTCAAGAACAATCTACAATTGAGCCTGTATCTGAAGAATCAATAACTAAATCAGAAGAAGCACAAAAGGGTGAGGAAAAACTCACGGAACCCACTGTACCAAAAGAAGAACACGTATCAACAAGTGTTAGCTCGATAACGGAAGAACCTGAAGACAAAATAACAGGAGAGCCAGTTGTAATAGAGGAGCATGAATCAGAAATTTTGCCAGAAGAAGAACTAGAGACAACACAATTACCAATAGGAGAATTCGGTACAAAGTTACAGCCTATACCAACTGAAGCACCTATAACTGAAACTTCGGAAGAAATTTCAGAAAAAGATCACGATGAAGGCCATGAAGAAGTACAGCCACACGTCGATACTATTGAATCCGAATCTTCTTCACAGATTCCACAGACAGATAAAACCGAGGGCCAAGTAACTATCGAATCGACTGAGGAACATTTACAGCCGGTCAATCATACCATTGAAACTGCTGAGGAACCCGGCAAACCAATTTTGGAAGAGCATCATGTGACAAGCACTAGCACTATAGCACCTCAAGAATATCCCGAACAAACAGTGTCTGGTGAAGATAATTCTCACTTCCCCATACACTCTGGTAGTTACCTTAATCCTGATGAAGATTACGATGAAGATGATCAGGCAATTTATGGTCCAGGCACTTGTAGATATGGTGGAAAAGTTTACATGTCTGCTCAGCAAATACCAAGAGATGACCCATGTGATTTCTGCTTCTGCTTTAGAAGTGATATTATCTGTCTTCAACAAAGCTGTCCACCACCGATACCAGGATGTCACGAGGAACCTATCAGTGGTTTCTGTTGTCCTAGATACGAGTGTCCCGTATCGATGGCTACGTCTCTTAACATTACCACAACTACGACCACAACTACGACGACATTACCCCCGCACTTTTTAACGCACGCCTATAAAGGCGCTGCGAAACGAAACGGATGTCTAATTCGTGGTCAAGCATATAGTGTAGGCGAAACTATTAAATCTGCATCCGGTCCATGCCTTCATTGCACGTAAGTATTAAACAAACATTGACAAACATTAATGTTTCTCTAAACTTTTACTGACTTATCTTTCCTATATTATTTTTCAGTTGCGGAGGTGACGGCAACATGAAGTGTGATCCACGAGTATGTTCTCCGGAACCAATGCTAAGGCAAATGATCGCTGCAGCAACAGCCAGGAGAAGGAGATGAGCCGTTCGTAATGGTCCCCTGGATCTATCCCGACGAAGAAACGAATACGAGGGAGCCATGAAGAAAGTGTTGTATAAAAGTGAATTAAAATTATTCTAAACTAAAATATACCTAAACGTCGCAGAACACAGACAATAACGTGCTTCGACGTTCACGAACCGAGTGGCCAAAACGTAAACATTTATATTATATAATAATATTATATTATGTTATATATATAAATATATATATATATATAAAAAAAAGCAAAAAGAGAAATGAAAGACAAACAAGAGCAGGTGGGATGATGTCAAAAGGGACAAATAGAGGATTTTAATTAACGTAGTGAGGCGCGTTTCCGGTGCCAAAAACGTGGCGGATGAAAAATGTACTCACGAAGGAGGAAGTTTCAACGAAACAGGGAAAAACTGGATAAAGGAAAAAATTTTTAAGAAACACCACTTTCGTGTTGGTTCCGTACTCATATTTCATTCTACGTCTCCTGCCGTTTCTTACAAAAAAAAAAAAAGTAAGGAGAAAAAAAAATCATAAAAACGAAAATTACTTAAGAAAGAAAGGAAAAAAATAAAGCCATTGAAATTTACGACTGTGCCTTCGTCAGTGTCGTCGATAGCGACATTATTTTCATTTATAGCGGGGCAACTGCGGAACAGCGACATTAGTGAAAATCATTAGCATCATTCTCTGAAGAATCTTAACAGCAACCATTGATGATAGGGTACTAGCAGTGTGATGTGTGTGAACAATAAATAGAAGAATCAGAATATTTTTCATTTGGATAAATGAACTTCGTACAGTGACATTATAATATATACTGGAATCGTAAGATGAATATTTTTTTATGCTCTCAATTCGTTTTTAACTAATGAATACGTTCGAAAGCAAAGTCGTAATCACTTTTATACACATGATCGCACAGGGCATAATATTCTTCGTACGATTCGTCCGCGTGAGATCGAAAAATCGAAAAAAAAATAAGCGTTAAGCGTTTTTCTGCCGCGCACGTCGCTCTTGTAATACCATTGTAAGAAGTTAAAACATTGGCGATTAAAGAAGATGGTGCGAACTCTACTCGCGATCGATGAAAAAATCTTTATCGGGTTTTGGCTGCCGCGTGTCGTGCTCAAATGATTGGTCCACATATACTCATGTATACGAACTTCTACGGACATTTGAATACGCTGGAAATGGCACTTTTAAAATAATCTTAATACATTAATAAAACAAAGTAAAATATTTCTTATTTTGTCAAAAAAAAAAAGAAAAAAAAAAATGACGAAATAAGCAAATACTCGAAAGAACGGTGCCATTTTCTTACGTATCCTATTGTGCGTGCAAATATATGCGTATGTGTGTGGTCAGTCGGTACATATATATATATACATACACACGTGTATATGTATATGTGTATATATGTATATTAAATAATAAAAAAAAAAAAGGAAAAAAATGGCGCACAAAAGGTAGACGAAAGTTACGTGCAAACTCAAAGCTTAAACAAGCAGCTCGCGCGGAGGACCGATTGAGAATTTGCTTCTCCGGCGAGCTGGCATTATACATATATATATACATATATATACATATATATGTATGTATAATATATACATATAATATATACATATATATATGCATATATACATATATACGTTTATATGATTCTTTATATACACTATATTTCTTTTAATATTTAACTATAACACAATGTTCTACACCTTTGTACGAAACTATAATTAATACTCCTCTATGGCGAGATGATCTCCCATTGTTCTCCAGTCTCAAAGTGTCGCGTGAGAACGAAGTTCATTTTATGTGAGAAACATACTTACGTCTCTTGAAAGTAAGGCCACGGTTAACTCATTCTATCATAATATCGTTCCTCCGTTTTATGAGGAAGAATCAAGTCAATTACTTATTCCTCTTTGGCCAATAACTGGTAATAAGATATCGATAATATACGAGAACGATATAATCGTCATGCTTTGAGACTTCGGAACGCTGGTTATCGTATAATAATAGAAGAAAAACGCTATATCGTCGCATAAATATTGCGTATACTGTCTATATTTATACTGATAATTATAATTAACGACTATGAGTCGGTATTCCATCTTACTGGCATGAAAATAGCTCATAATACTTGTACTCGTTTATCGATTAAGTTCGTCTCTTGAAAAGAAATAATGAAAAGAAAAATAAAAAAATAAAAAAAAAAAGGAAAAAAAAAAAACAAAATAGGAATGGGGGAAAAAGCGTCTAGCGGAAGACTTTTATGAAAGCTTTTTTTATACGTAAACGCGAATTTCTCTGTTGAATTCAAACAATGCAAGGAAACATCGACAGCGTATTCGTAGAGCTTCTACGATAGCTCATACGTGATATAAATGGCCATATTGACTAACGTCATTATTACAGAACAAGAAAAAGCTATCGATAGACGTTTAGAACGCTTTCATTTTACGGAAAGTTTCTTTCGCACGAGACATACTTGCGAAGTGAGAAAAACAGCTCTATTAAACGTACAAGTAGTAACTCTGTAAAGGAAATGGAAAAGAAAAAAAGGAAGAAAGAAAGTTGCAATACCATAGTTATTCGAAGCTATCTAAAACGTTCATTTATCTGTATTTAGTATAATAAAAATGCCCGAACATTTTTCAATAGATATCATTTCATTTTCGATTACATCAAAATCCACTTTCCACAAACAAATTGAAATACGAATAAAATATCCAGCTTTAATTTCCATTCTCGATTACCGAATCAACTATTAGAATATTTTTAAAGGATTGATAATCAATTCATATCATTTTGAGGTATACTTTATCTTATTTTAATACTAGACAGTTCATGAACGACTACCATGAATATCGAGTAAATGATTTGAATGCATTGCCATTTCTATTGTAACTTGATATTCGTGGAAGTCAAATAAATTTTGTCCAAGCCAACTTTCTTAGCGATTATTCTAGCCTAGTATTTATCTTGATATTTTTCGCATTCATAGCGATAATATACTGAAAGTATAATGAGTATCGAATATATGATAAGCTAATAATAACGATAATATACACATAATTACAATGTAAGGCATACGACTACGGCGAATACTTAGACTGTATACATAATTAATTATACAGTTTTGATGGCTGGCTAAAAGATTTAATGACTCATTATCGTCAAAAATAACGCTCTTCCTCCATCGTGACGTAGCCGGCTTTATATACACAGTAAATGCACACACAAGAATAACATAATATTTGTGTACAGACTGACCAATTTATGTCTGCTTGTGTAACATTAGATGTTATTACATGTTTTTCTACTTACATGCTGTAAAAAATAGTTTTAATGTTATAGAGAAGTTTTATATTTTTCTAAAATTTTTGGCGTTAATTGCTAGTTTGAACAATATGCTTCATTATACTTTCACGTAAATAAAACGAATTTTAGCAGACTAAAAATGATAACTGTGAGCATAAAAGATAAACACGATACTCAGTACACCAATATGTATACTCAATATCTTGATAAAATTCTCAAAAATTATTGTATTCCATTGTATGATCGCTAATGACAATTGTCCCTTTCTTTGCAGTATAAACTACTGTCAGATCCTGCTGCGTATCATTATAATATGTATGTGATAAATGAAAAAAACAATCGAGCCGTGAATATTTCGAGTATTTCCAACTGTACGGATATGTTAGGTTAGTTTTCACAGTACGTGCTAGTGTAAAGTGTCCTTTTATATGAATAAATGATTTTGTATGTCATGTATTATAATTTTTTCATTTTTCGATTTTCCACATGAATTAAAACAATTTTTCTTACAATCCTTTTCAATAAAAAAAATACGCTGATAAAAGTTACGGAAAGTTAAAAATTCATTTTAGTGTGAAAATTTTAATAAAATTGAACAAGAAATTTCTAATAATCTGAAAAGAAATATGTAAATAAAAATATTAACAAAAATTATTCTCAGATACATCATCCGAATCTTTTCGTTTCTTGTAGGGCGACAAAGATTTACTATCTTGCTTTTAATAGATTTATATTACTATTTTTACTATACATATACAAATTTGTTATTATTTTTGGTAGTAGTATTAGTAATAATGGTAATAGTAATACAATTTCCTGCGTATATTTTCGTTACATCATTATGCTTTATATTTTGTTTGTAGAAAGATCAGGCTTGTGTAACTCAATACGAATTAAGTTTTACAACGGCCAGATTTTACCGTTCACCAAACTTCACCAAACTTTTTCTGCTTTTGTAAAAACTTAGGAATTTTCCGACCACCTGGATACAACGTGCGGTCCGTAACAATGAATAACAAACCATTGAGAAATTGAGAAAAGAAACAAAAGCTACCAGCATCATTTTTGTTACCATTGGGACCACTATTGGACTATAGTATGTACTTAACGCGATGACGGTACAATAGTTATATTGTAAGAAAATTTAAAATAATTATATTTAATTTTTAGTGTCTAAATACGTGTGTGCCTTCAGAAATGCCTTTTTTATACATATATATTTTAAAAAGTTAAAGAAAATCAAAACGAGTTTAACGAGTTTTACGTTTTTAATTACGTTTCTTGCTAATATTTAAAAAATAACGAAAAGAATAAARACAATATGCACTATAAACCTAAACACACCATACAGAAAAACACACATAATTTATTTATTAATTATATATATAATTATTTAATTTATACTTATTATTATATATATTCAATTAATAATTATTATTATCCAATTCATTATTCTATTAGGTGTATACGTTCCCAGTTAATATTAAAAAAATAACGAGTAAAATAAAGACAATATAGACAAAAACTTTATCACATCGCAACGTTCTGATTTAAACATTCTTTCAATTTTATGTAAATGTTTAAGCTAATGTATTAAAATTATGTATAAGAATTATCTGTCTTACCGACTGATATCTTAAACTGTCTTACCGACCGAGATCAATCTGTTTTATCGCCCGAGAATATCTGTTTTGTCGACAGAAATTTCAAACTGTTTTACTGACCGAGATTTCATCTGTTTTATCGACCGAGATTTCAAACTGTTTTACTATCAGAGTTACCAGGGTAAAAAAACTTAATTAGATGAATTTATTTAAATAGAGATTTGATAAAAATAAATAAAAAATTCGGTTGAAAAGTGCATCTCTGCGAACTGGACGATTTGTATGTTAGGCTATTGTATCACTTGATTGTATGATTAATATAGTTTTCTTTTTGTTACAGGTGATCATCGTTGGATTTATCATCTACTCGTTTTGATTTTCTTCTAATTTTGTTTAAAATATATATCTATAAAAAACGCATTTCTGAAGGCACACACGTATTTAGACACTAAAAATTAAATATTATATAATTATTTTAAATTTTCTTACAATATAACTATACTATATATACTATCAAAGAATACAATCTATACTATCATCCAATGGTGGTCCCAGTGGTAACAAAAATGATGCTGGGTAGATAAAAAAGGGGACTTGTGAGTTTTTATATACTACACCACAACAAAGTTGGCATAGAATCGCAACAGCAGAAAAATATGAATAAGTGCTCTTAATTGCTTACTAATTGCCTAATCAAAATCCATATAATTGCTCACTTTATTAATTAATTATTTAACTAGATATTAATAATTGAAAAATCGAAAACAAATTATTTTTTATTATTATTTTTTAATTATTATTTTTTATCACCATAAAAAAGTTGGCATATAGAACCGTAACAACAGAAAAAAATGAAAAAATGAAAATATTTACCTATTGTTTATACATTATGAACGATTAATCTATTTCTTTTCACTACCCTATAGATTGTTACTTTGGAAATCAACTTTAAATATATCCTCTGCAGGTGTACCAACTTTACTTTCATTTTTTTTCAAAGTGCACTTGCGCCTTGAGTTTGTGGTTGCGCATGCGTATAACATATCTCCCACTCATGACGTCGCCATCTCATAATTATTCAAAGTGTAAAAATTATTTTCAACTAATTAACGATAAATAAAATATATTTGATGAAATAAAGTTGAGGAGCCGGACAAACAAAAAGTCAGCAATTTATTGGAAACAAAAAACAATAGAAAACTTCATTGCTTTGCTTAGAAATGAGAAAAACGTTTTTGGTTTTTCAATTATTAATAACTAATTAAATAATTAATTAATAAAGTGTGCAATTATAAATTTTAAATGTACAATTTATTCATTTTTTTCTTTTGTTGTTACTATGTTAATATAATTTAGTGATATTAGTTTAGTAAGTTGGTACGCTTGAATTAGATTTCACTATTCTCTGTTGAGTGGTGAATTGTCCAATTACTCTAATTCTTGAATGAAATGTATAACTATTTTTATAATATATTATCGTGATAATGGATAAATATGTAGGAATAATTTTATGTTTGTTTTTTGTATAAATAATTATAATATTTTTATGAAAATTTGTTAAATATGTTTTATATAACATAAATTGTATGAACGTAGGAATGTAAATATGGAAGACATGGAGTTCCAAAACACTCCATGTTACCCTCAACCGCAAGACTTCTATGACTTTTATCAAATTTGTATGTGAGATTGGACAGAGAAATTTATATGCGGTTATTTTAAATAAGTTTTATAATTTCGTTGTTAAAATTATCGTTAGTTTTGTGCAAAATAATTAAAGAAAGCAGACTTTTATCCACATGCTCGTTAATATTTATCATTTGGAATAAAGTAAGCAAGTCAAGCTGTCAAGTTAATTTTACTAATTAATATTGATATTGATATCGTTTCAATAATCCAATGAAAATTATTTATTTTGCTTTATGAAGGAAAATGTTGATACTTCGAGAGGTACAATTAAGAAATAATGAAAATATTTGAGCATTTAATCTTTTGATATACAAATACAACTATGCACCACAACAGAAGGAAAAAGAAGAGAGTAAATTATGGTGTTAGAGCTGTGGAAGTGGTTCGTGGCACTAAAGGATATGGTTTTACTATTTCTGGACAACAACCGTGTATATTAAGTTGCATTGTACAAGGAAGTCCTGCTGAACATGCTGGACTACGAGCAGGAGATTATTTGGTCGCTGTTAATGGTCACAATGTTAGTAAAGTACCTCATGATGATGTAGTACAGCTGATAGGACAGTCCCAAGGTGTCCTTAGATTACAAATAGCTGAAAATTATTATTCTGATTCATCGGATGAGGAAGGTTTTGCTACTGTTAGATCCAAACCTAAATATGCACATAAACCACGCGCTAATAATACAAATGCAATACAGTTACAATGTAGAGTCGCTAAAGTTGTTAGAGATTTACAAAGTGGTGCCATGTTCGATACAGCTGGAAGAGCAATACAACAAAGTAAAATACATTGCAATCATCTTCATCATCGTTGGAACATGAGTAATCCTCTTCCTCCACCACCTCCACCTACATCGCATAAACGAGATTCGGAAAAAATTGTACATAGAACTGTAGTCGGTTATTTGGGTACTATAGATATTCCTAATCAGTTGCATCCATCTTCTATGATGCAGGTATGTATTACATATAGATGATATTCAGTAAGTTTTTCTTTATTAGTTGTTTAATATTAATTTTTTTAATATTTTAGGTTTTACGGAAATGCATAAAAAGATTAAAAGCAGAAAAAAGAAATCCAACAACTGTACTTTTAACGATACATGTGGCAAATATCAAACTTACCAATTCAGAAAATCTTGTTATCGCTGAATATCCATCATATAGGATAATATTCTGTAATTCATTTTCTGAAGAAGATAAACAGTACTTTGGAATATTAACAAAATCTGTCAAAGACAAGGATGATATAGTATCCAATTCCTGTCATGTGTTCACTATATATTATAAGTTAATAGATCATGCAATACACTCAAGTACTTGTAATGTATTTGGATTTACATGTACGAAAACTTCAGAACTAAACATGTGCCAAGAATTTCCTGATAGTTGCAATAGTTTAATCGGAGCCATACAAACCTTGTATATATCTGATTCTACAAACGGTGATGCCAATCCGTATAACGAAGCACGAAGACGTCAAGATGCTGCTTCACCTCAACCTAGCAATGTTAGCACATCGACTGCCCATTCGAGTAATAGTGATTCTGGTATAGGTTTCAAAGATGATTATCGTTCTCGTTCAGAGAGAAATGCTGAATTTTCTCATTCCAGACAGCGCTCCATATTGCAGAGAGTATAGTATTTACTAAACGTATTAATCATTAATTAGAAACATATATGCTATATATCATACAAACTTGAAATGTTGTTTATGTTTGTAGGGTCTTATAATGCCTTCAAACAGAGGAGGAATATTTAATGAGACTGCAGGTTCCAGACTCACAGTTCGTGCAATATCTGATTCAAGATGGGAAAATATAATAAGATCAGGTACTTCCAAGGAAAATTCAGTATCATCGTCGTATGAAACAGCGACAGGGGTTAGCAACAATAAAGTATCCATGAACTTTGGCAATTCACATGATGGAATTCCGTGTAGTGCGCCAACAGGAGTGGCGGGAAATCGTACGATCGTTTCAGAAGGGAAAAATTCATGGAGGAGTGGGGATGCCACCACCTGTCCGGAACCATCTGCTCCTGTGGTCATGCAGGGGTTCGGTAGTTCATCCGTTGGTTCTCTTTCATCTGCCTGTACTACTGCAATGCTCCACGGTACGGACGAAGTTATCGAAACGGTGGAAAATTTGTCGAGTCAATCGCAAATATTAACGCGAATATCGAACACCGGTTGTGATAAATTGAGTCCTAAAGTGTATTGCGGTATGTCGAAATCGTTGGTGCACAGCTTGGAAGATTTGAATCCTAGCTCGGAACATTCAGCCTCGTTTTTACATACTTATGGTAATAAAAACGATAAACCACGTCCATGGGGAAGTTTACAAGAAATAAGAACAACTCGTATCTGCAACTCGGATAATTGTTTGGTAAGAAATTTATTCTTTATTCTTATTCTCACACACACACACACACTTTATCATACATTTTATCATCATTTGTTTTATACCTGCTATCAACATTGATGGTTTATTATGCCTTACTTATTTTTTTTATTAACTTTATAAAAATAATTAAAAAAAAATGTTTCACGTCTGAAACGATTAATAGTACGTGCAATTAATCATTCCTAATCTGCATTCATATAAATAACGAGACAAACTGTAATTATTAAGTAGTATGTACAATGACCTATATTCCTTATCATTTTGATTAATCACCCGTTATACGCGTCGAAATAATCAAACTCGTAGAAAAATGTTTAGGTAAGACGCACGTATGTCTTTTTCATGGTTTCCGTTCCCTGCTCCCTCCCTAGTTTATTCGCTATTGAAGTCTGCGTCATCACATTTCCTGCTTGCAGTTCCCGTTGCTTCGTAGGGCAGATCTGTAGCTGCTCTAGGTATACAGATGAAACCCGACATATCATCGTCTATACAATAGATACGCTTTTTACATACGAGAGTGTTCATCTATAACAATAATTTTTGCTAGACTACATGTCAAAATGACATCATTCTCAAAACTTACGAACAATTATTCTTAATCAATTGAAAACTCAATTATTATTCTAGTCGTGCCAAAAACGTGTTGCCTGCTATACAAGTTATACGTGACTCATCCGAAAATATATAGGGTGTCCCATTAAATTCCTACATACTTATTTCAAATACATATATCAAATGTAGAATCGATTTGAACAAGGACACCCTGTATGCAATGTACATACACAGGCTTCGCGGGTATGCTGTATTATTTGTACGCACGTGTGAGAAATACGGTGAGTCACACATACATATACAGACAATAAGTGCGCGCGCATAAATATACAACCATAGGCATATTACATATATAAGAATACACGCACATATACATACAGTTCAGAGACTCACACGCATATACATACAGATTCAGAAGACCCATACACTTAATATTCATACATCACATACATAGATCCAAATATAACAACTACAAACGTATACGTCGACACGCGGCGCAGGTTCGCACGCGCAGTGATTAGAGTGGCCTGAGTTGGATACGAAGTTGCGGCTTTTACATGAGTTCTCTTCTGGTCAGTGTTGCGCTTGGTAGTGCGCGCTGTTGCGCGCGTCCGTTCGTTCAGACGGATGGAACTGCGCGCATCGCGTTTTCCTCTTCTTAGGGTTGTCCCTGCTGACTGAGTTTCATTTGAGTTACGTTTAATCATTTCCTTATCATCAAGATTATTTTACACGTAGTAGTAGTAGCACTTTATTTAAATCCAACTTAACGTCACCGTCAGCGTCAATCTTTTTGTATTAATCATCGTGTTTAAAATATTAATCAACGTTTAGTATATCATTCCTATTTTATACATAGAATCGTTTCGTACGTATCGTGCGTCGCTTGCCACGGCTGGGCGGAGCCCTCAGTAGTGATCTACTGTTGTTGAACGGCCTTTACCGTGTGATTCTTTCTGTTTCTTTTCTTCCTCCTCCTCCCCCCCCCTCTTTCTTTTTCTATGTTTGTTTTCTTTTTTTTTCTTTTCTTCTAGTTTTTTTTTTTTTTATTTCTTCACCCCTTTCAAACGGGTTTCTCCTTTGCCACTCCGCGAGTTATTTATTTTAATTGTGGATTACGAAACACGTGTACAAGACGGATTATTACATGGGATTGCGCGCCATTCCGAGGCTGGAGCTTCGTTGGACAGGACATGGATTCGTTGGGGAAATTGGTATGAGAATTTAACAGGGGAAATAAGAGCATATTAAAGATCTAATCATCGATGATTGTTAGCCCATTTTAACAAGTACTTTCTTTTTAGTGTTTTCTTTTTTAGATTGAAGAGATTTATTGGTTAGATAGTTGAGTAATCGTTCATAAATTAACAAACGAATTGAATTGCTCGTTCTTATTAATTTGAATCTTCTATATGGATGGAATAACATTTGATAAAATGTGTCTATGTTAAGTAACACGATTGGACACGCGGGAAATATATTTTTATTTTAGGGGTGGTGGTGTGGGGGAGATTTATATAAAGTCTTATTATTTATTTGTTTAGTTGGATTTAAACATTTTTTTTTGACCTACTTTTTACGAATGAATGAAGCATCGTCATTAAGAATCTACTATATATATATGTACATCACATACATACATGTATACGTGATTTCATTCGCATTTCTGTGACATGGATTCCCCGAATGGCATCAAGTTCGTGGAATTGAAATTACTTTCCGCTGATAAAAACAATTTATTCTCTTCTTTTCTTTTCTTACGTCAAGAAGGGCGTTTATAATTTAGTTAGTTTGATTTCAATTTATATTTATCGACGGTAATTGTCTTCCTATTTTTATTATAATCAACTTGACATTGATGAGTACATTGTTCTTTTTGTCTTTTTTCGATTGAAATTAATTCATATAATATCAAACGAAGTGAATTTAAATTGCTATAGATTTTTAGGCATAAATTGTGAAATTGTAAACCTACCAAATTGAGGACTTTTGCTAATATTCTATTAATCGAAGATAAATAAATTTATTACTAGTAAATATAATATTTATAATTTCTGTAACACTTAAACAATGAAATTCAAAGTCTCTCAAATTAACTTTTTTGATAAATATATTGATAATTAAATATATATATTAGGTAGGCCAATTTTTTAACAACAAATAAATAACATGGTAAAAACCGTACGGAGTTAACGATCAATCTTAATAAATATAAATGTTAATTAATATTTCTTCATTTGTTATAATTTATTTCTCATTAATTAGTATTTATGAATATTTATATTAAAAAATTATACGGAATTATTGACCAATTTAATAAATATATAAATACATGTAAAG